TGACAAATAAACTAGCATGACATCGTCAGTCTAATTTCGTTGCCATGGCAGCGCTATTTAGTCGACATGGCAGCGGTCAGCTAGTTAGCGCTATTCAGACTGTCTGTTAGTACCGCTTTAGGACGTGACTTGTATGAGCCCAAGGCTCGTTTGTAGGCCTATTAGACTTGTTCTCGGTTGTGGGATGGCACCATCCAGTAGGAGATCAAGCTAGCTCTACATCATGTTTGCTTTCTATTGAGAAATAACAGGAAGAAAGAAAAGCAACATTCAAGGTGCTACACAAAAATTCAGAGTTCTTCCCTATTCTTGTCAGAGTGACAAAAACAGAGAGAGGGATCAAGAGGAGAGAATTGTGAGTGCTAATAGATATGCCTTTTGCCAACACCATATCTCTTACCAATAATTTTATTTTTCAAGAAATTTGTTTTTGGAGGTTACTCAAAGACCTCCCCCCTCCCCTAGTTCTTGCATATGTGTGTATTGATTTCCATTCTGATCTAGATTTTCTAGTTCGCACAACTTTCATGACCTGCAACTAGAGACTGTTAAGCATAATGCTGGAATCTATAAAATCTAAATAGTTGACCCCCACAGACTCTATTCTCTCAACATGCATCCCTCCACATCACCAAATGTGCCACGTCATTATCCATTACACCTATTTTGTAGCACATGCATACCCCAAATTTAACTGTTCCATCCCCAATGGTCCAACGTACATGCATACTCTTTGTTCACACACAATTGCTTCCGAGAAAATAGCTTTTGATGTAGGTCATTTCATTCATACAAATTTTATCCAAAATTAATCTTTGAAATCCCGCAGCAACGCGCGGAGAAATCACCTAGTTTCTTAGACTCTGGACCCATATTGAATTACATGCACCAAATAGTTCACCCAAGCCTAAACTTATGGAGAATAGTGGTGTATATATTTCAACACGGGATACATGTGTTGCAAATGGCCAAAGACTACTAATTTATTCGAATGGAATCATTTTTCGATAGATGTATTCATTGTTCTAGAAATTTATTTCATTTGTCATTACAAATTTATTTCAAGAGCCATGAGTAATGACACATAGAACATATCCTAGCTTTTCAAGGAGATGTATCCATTGTTAATCATCCACTCCATACTCCAGTGGTTGTTCACATTCTTGAGAGTCCAATAGGACCATCCAAACGTTGCCCTCCCATACACATCCATCTGTGCATTTGCAAACATTTGGAACTCTTGCTTCGCTGCATTAGGCACCTTCCACTCAGCCACCCATTCTCCTGCGGAAAACATGTCACATGAGATATTTTTACTAAAGTCCCAAAGGATGGGGATAAAATCCATGTTCTAAAACCAAAAGGGAATAGTTACATTTACCTACAAAGGTGAGGGGACCATTTTCCCTCGTGACAATGCTAAGATCGCTTGAGTAGTTGGTCTTGATGAATTCAATATTTTGTTGCACGGTGAAAGTATCAAACATGTTGTTGAACAACGCGTAGTAATGCACATCGATGACGGATCCAGGTAACCCGCCAGCGAGCCCGAGGAGCTCTGTTGGGTCCGGGGATGACAACCGGTTGGACATGATCACGTAGGCATCCGATGAGTGCTTCCTGACGGCGTTGTACCCGTCGCGGTAGTACGTTTTTAGGCTCTCCAGGGATACACCGGGTGCCAACGGCTCGTTCATTAGCTCAACTGCGAGGAGGCTTGGGCTTTTGGCGTACCTGGATGCGAGAAAATCTATCACTTGCACAGTTTGTGCGATGTTAGTGTCGGTGGTGCCCCAGTCCTGTGAGCCATCCTTGGAGGAGCTGTGCTCAAAGGGATTTTGCGACCCAGGAGCTGCATGTAGGTCAATGATGACGCCTAGATTGTACTTCCTGTTCATGCAAACAAATTGATACAAAGCCAAATGTTTCAAAAAAATTAGAATAAAAAGGAGGATCACACCTAGGACAAAAGTTAATTAGATAACAGAAGCTTTAGTTTGCTCAAGATGATGCCAAGGTCAGCCCCCGGCCTATATATTCCGACAGTTGAGCCGATCTTTGATTTCATACATTTAGCAAAATTAGATTACAAGTTTCTGAAGGTTACTTACTCTGCCCATTTGAATGCCTTGTCTAAGGTTTTAAGTGAACCTCCAACGTAAGGTGTTGGAGGTCTGGGGTCGTTAGCGATCCACCATCCCACTGGTATTCTCACTGCGGTCAGCCCGCTTTCGGAGATGAACCTGAAGTCAGCTTCCACTATATATGTGCTCCAATGGTTCTGCCAAACATGCAACATTCCACAAAATTGAGGTGCCAAGAATGATACGTATTCCTAACTTGCAGAGTGAGAACAACGGTACCTATTTCTAGCTAAGTTATAAACTCTGCCAATCTACCTTGTCAAGACAAGAAAATCACACTTCTCGCAATAATAATAATACTAATGACGATGATGATGATGATGATGATGATGATGATGATGATAACGCACAATCAGTTAGATAATATTAGTATATCGTGAACACCAAAAACTTGGTGTATCTTTTTTCATATGAACAAATTACATTTTCAGTTGGTTTTTTATACACCAAAAACTAGGTATATCCGATCAAGTTATTCGCTGCACAATGATCGGCACTACTCTTTCTCGTTTCCTTGTGCAAGTGGACAAATATATACTAATAAACAAGAAGAAAATGAGGAGGGAAACCACTGAGGACAGTGATCTCCACATGATGCATGGTAAGCATAATGTACAAGTGTTGCTCACTATATATAGCTCTGAATTAAAACAGGGGTCAGCAAGTGGAGCAGTGGCCCCCGTGATGTTCAATGTATTTACCCTGAGAATAGGTGTAGCCTTTGCAGTCCCATAGCCGTTGCAGATCTGGTACTCCCCTTGTAGCCCCGTCACTCTGGTCACCGCGAACACCGACGGGTCGTCGTCGCCCCAGCTGGTGCTCTGGCCATAGTCCGCCGTCAGCGAGGCATCTTTGTTTGCCTGCACGCCGTCAACGGAATGTGACTAATATAGTTTGGAACATGAAAGAAAATGAGATTTCTTATAATTACTTATTGTTTGCGCTAGTCAAAATCCCTAGACAAGCTAGTCAACATTGGAGGCTCATGTTGAATAATGGAGTGTCTGTTTTGAACGCACATGTAGCTTGCTAGCATACACTTGTTGTCCAGTTGGCAAACATAGTAGTACGAGTATTATCTTTACCTGCAAGAAGAGACCGTTGGGCGCCATGATCCGCATCCTGTACTGGTCGCCGGGGCTGCGGACCAATCGGAACGTCTCTGGCCGCCCCGGCGACGCGGCCGTCGCGACCAGCGAGCCGTCGCTCTTGACGCCCACGAACTGGTTGCCGAACACTTTGAAGTTGAATGTCACCTCGTTGATCCGCCACAGCTTGAAGGTCTCCCAGCCAGACGCCTGAGGCCGGTTCGCCACCAGCCCCGCGCCGCCGCCATTCTCCGCGGCCACGTAGGCGTTCTGCGTTACCGACTTGAACTGCAGCTGCGTGCCGTCCTGTACGTACGTCCGCGTGCTTGTCAGTCAAGAAACTAAAAACAGGGAGCCATGGCGGCGGCCCGCGGCAACGGCACACGTGTGTTGGTATGTATGCATACGCAAATCTACGACGTTAATTACCAGGAGATCGTTGTTGGGGATGCCGTCGAAGAGGGACGGCAGGATCCAGCCCTCCGTGACCAGCCACCCTCCGAGGTTCACCGCTCGCACGGGGAGACGAGGAGCAGCCATAGCTGCCGAGCTTCGGGAGAGGAAGCACAGCACGAGGAGCAAGGAGTAGTGGAAGAGGCGGCTCCTCATTTCGCAGCTAATGCTTCTTCCGATCCACTGGGCTCGGTTCCTTGCAAGTTGCAACGCAATTGCTCGGTGTTGTGCTCTGCCCTACCGTGTTCTGCTCGCTTATATAGCTCACGGCTGATGATTAATTAAGATATGATCGACTTGTTGGATGCATGAACACCAGATTAGAACGGGAGGGTTTCCACTAAGGATAACAATCCGGGGGTCAAAACTAATGGCTAACAGGAACGAAGGTGGTTTCGCACTTGGCTAGTATTCAAAGTTTTAGGTTTGCTTTAAGTGAAAACATTTTTTTTGAGCTATAAGCTTTAAGTGAAAACATGTTCCACTTACATTAACGTGGCCAAAACCATTCCCCTCGAGTAGGGCGTTTCGGTGGCCAGACTCATCTGCATCCGGTTAGAAAAGAATTCGTAAAAAAAAAATCAAAAAAATTCCTTTTTTTGTGCGTTAGACAATTTGATGCGTGAGGCCCGCTTCAAATTTCAAGTCATTTGGATATTTTAGCAGCTCTCAGTAAAAAAGACAAATCGGTCCAAAACAGTACATGAACAGTAAACATTTTTACAGACCTTCAATTTGTCTTTTTTGCTGAGAGCTCATCAGATGTCCAAATGATTTAAAAATTGAAGCCGACCTCACGCATCAAATTTCTACCGTACAAAAAAACTTTGGAATTTTATAATTTTTTTCTCTTTTTGCTTTTCTCGATTTTCCTAATTTTATTTTTGATATTTTCTCTGCTTCTATTTATTTTTTCTCTTTCTTCTTTTTTTGCTTTTTCAGTTTCTTTCCTTTTTTGTTTATTTATTTTACTTTTTCAAAAAAATAAAAACGCAAATTTCAAAATATTTTCAAATATTAAAAATTCATTTACCTTTCAAAAAATCTGTTCGGATTTTCAAAAATGTTCTCAAAAAATTGTTTGAAATGGGCATAACTTTTGCATACGAACTCGGATGAAAAAGCTTTTTATATGAAAAACCATCTACTCGAAAAGTTACATCCTAATTTAACCAGAGGGAACCCCGTTAAACATTTTCAAAATCCTCAAAAACCTAACAGAAAAAAGATACGGGGCTTTTAAGATCTGGAGAGGCAAAAAAATTCAAAAAAAATTCAAACTTACTAATGGCGCACCTGCCCATGGTGCGCCATTAGTATCTTCACGCCTTCAAAATTCAAAATAAATAAATAAATAGTAATGGCGCACCTGCCCACGATGCGCCATTACTATGCCGTATATATGGATGGGCGTGTCCTCTCCTCCTTACCTCTTCATTTTTCTCCTCCACTCCACCTCTCCTCCACTCCTCCACTCCATCTTGCCTTCTCTCCTCCACCATACTACCCTCCTCCTCTCCGGCGACCTCCTCCTCCTCCTCTCCGGCGACCTCCTCCTCCTCCTCTCCGGCA